AAAAATCGGTGGATTTGGTTCGTTTAATAATTTTCAAATAAATTTCTGTTGATTAACGGTCAATAATTTCGGTTCGATTAATATTAAAGAAAAATTATATTTAAAAACAAATAATTTGTTTCATTTTTTTATCATTACGAACTTTTATAAGTCAAATACAAATTGTTGTAAGTTAAAATCATTGTGGAGCTTTGGCCCAACGGTTTGGGTGTTGGTTAATCTTCCCCCAAAGGCACGGGTTTGATCCTCCCTGGTAACCTTATTCTTTAATTTTCCATTTCAATCCGGGTGGTGACACGAGTCACCACCTGATTGGATAAAAAATTATTAAATTAAATAATTTAAAATTCATAAATAAAACCTTCCAATCATGTATTGACACATGTCATATTCTAATTGGATAGTTAAATTATTATTTAATTCAATTAATATAGTGACTAAATTGATAGAATATGTAAATATTAAGGACCAAATGTATAATTATTCCAATATTAAGGACCAAATATATAATTATGCTATTTTTATTAACAGACACGTCAATAAGTCCGTTTTTTTTAACGAAGAGTGGTCTGATTGAATCAATTAAAAAGTTTGACGGTCGAATTGAGATAAAAAAATAGTTCAGTGGCAAGATCGATTAATGACCATAGTTTAATGTCTCCCGTGTAGTTTACCCAAATGACAAAGACGAAGAACAACCTTAGAAAAGATTGAAAGGATTGACGGGGTGGAGTTAACGGAGACAGCAAATACCAAAGTTAAGAGTTCGAGGAAAACCATGGGAGACTCCCGAAATAGCAACAAGAAAGAATTTGAAGGCACAGGATTGGATCTTCCACCGAACAAGCATGGAAATTTGATCAGTGCTTCATCCGATGAAAATCTCAGCGACATTTTTCTTCGTATAAAGTCCTCCAAAACTCCTGTAAATCCTTTTCATCTTAATGGGTTTGTTTTGTAAAATTTAAAGTCTGTTAACTGACTTTGTTACTCTTTTTTTGATGTTCCTGCAGACTGTTATCAGTTATGGAGCCTCATGGTAAGTAACATCTGCATGTAGAGTTTCGTCAGCATTATGAAGACAAGGTGTTCGTCGAAATGTTTCTTTGGAAGAGTAGAACAAGAATTTGGGACAGCAGGCAAATTTTGGAAATGGGTTGTTATAGAACTGGACTAGGAATCGAGAAAATGAAAGATGCTCGTTGATTAATGTTTAAACTCATTTAACTTGGCTGATTACCCATGGTCTTTTTTAAAACTTTTCTTGTTTCAGGTGCGGTGTTTGTAGCCAGATCCTTCCTGCATTTTGCAAGTTGAGCAACCAGTTCCCAAAGCTATCTTTCGTTTATGCAGACATTGATGAATGCCCTGAAACGACGCAGCATATTCGTTACACTCCCACATTTCATTTTTATCGAGATGGCGAAAGAGTGGATGAGATGTTCGGTGCCGGCGAAGAGCGACTGCACGATCGTTTGTGGTTACATTCATGATAGAATTATGTTTGTTTCCCGTCTTTGAGACAATTTAGAGTTATGAATGATTGTCATCGAACAAAGCATAGTAGCACAAATGGTGTTCTTCATTAGGAACAAAGTTTGAATACAATAATAATAGATAATTTATATAGAAAAAAAAAATCACATGTTTCTTTATTCTTATGCTGTATACCAGAATCATGGCTACTATAACAATCATTTGCTGAAATTTTTACGTAACCAAACCGAGTTAGGCTTTTGGTTTAAGAGGCTTGACAATCTCCCAAGTGAAATCTGGGTCATCACGTCCAAAATGACCGTAAGCAGCTGTCTTTTGGTACCTAAACTTGCCTCCTCTCTTCAAATCGAGGTTGATAGAGATCATTCCCGGCCTGAAATCGAAGTTCTCCTTGATCAACTGCAAAATATCCTTGTCTGGGATCTTGCCTGTCTTGTATGTGTCAACGAAAACCGACAATGGTTCTGGCACACCGATTGCATAGGATACTTGCACAATACAGCGGCGAGCGAGCCCCGAGGCAACCACGGTCTTTGCTGCCTGCCTAACAATGTAGGCACCACTACGGTCCACCTTTGTAGGATCCTTCCCTGAGAAGGCACCTCCACCATGAGCACCCCAGCCACCATAGGTATCGATAATGATCTTTCGACCAGTGAGTCCTGCATCTCCATGAGGTCCACCGATAACAAACCTACCAGATGGGTTAAGGTGGAAAATGGTTTTGTCGTCGAGATATTTTGCAGGAATAACAGGCTTAATGACATATTCTTTCAAGTCTGCGGCAATCTTCTCATTGGTGACAGTCTCATCATGTTGGGTTGAAATGAGAACTGTATGAACTCGAACAGGTACCATGGCTCCACCATCATTGCGATACTCAACAGTCACTTGGGTCTTACCATCAGGCCTCAGCCATGGACATGTCTTGTTCTTCCTCACTTCAGTCAGCTTGGCACCAAGCTTGGTTGCAAGCACATGTGTTAGTGGCATAAACTCAGGAGTTTCATCAGTGGCATAACCAAACATGTGACCCTGGTCGCCAGCCCCAATTTCCTCTGGCTTCTTGGTGAGGTGGCCATGAACTCCTTGAGCAATATCAGGACTCTGTTGCTCAATGTTAACTAGAACTTTGCAGTTGTCAGCATCAAGGCCAACATCAGCTGATGTGAACCCTATACCTCTGCAAGTATCACGGACAATTTTCTCATAGTCAACTTTGGCCTTAGTTGTGATCTCACCGAAGACCATAACCATGTTTGTCTTGGTGCAAGTCTCAGAAGCTACTTTGCTTTCCGGGTCTTGTTCTAGGCATGCATCAAGTATAGCATCTGAAACTTGGTCACAAATCTTGTCGGGGTGGCCTTCATTGACAGATTCGGAAGTGAATAGGAATGTATCCATAACTGCACTTTGAAAACATTGTAAGGCATTGAAATTTTATGGTTATAAAATCCAAAGGAAACCAAAAACACATCTGCAAATATCTTCAGCAGTTCCAAATTCAACTTAAATTTTCACCGTATGAAAAATTAATGCACAATTTCATCGAAAATATACTTCTGCTTTCTCAAGTTTCTGAAAAGTATATCATTTTCCATGTCAGAGTAGAGATGAAACATACAATTAAAATATAAATACAATTAGAAATGATAGGTATTCAAAAAATATAAGGACAAAGGTTTCCGAAAGAATTGGGGCCAGGACAGAATTATATGGCTTGGTACATCAGATGGATATTATACTGCTAGAACTGGATATTTCAAGCTAAAGGAGAAACTGAATGGGAGGATGCAGAGGAGTCCAAGATATCACATGGAAATTTTATGGGGCTCTCTCGAACACAATCAAAGGTGAAGAACGTTTGGAGAGCAGTAAAAACTGCCATAGCTACAAACTTGAGTTTGGTCAAAAGAAGAATCAGAACTGATCCAAAGTGTCCAATGTGTGAGAGACACGATGAGTCCATTGAACATGTCAATCTTCAATGTGATTGGGCTCAATGCTTCTGGTGGGAGATAATGGATTAAGTGATACTGAAAGGAATAAATTGTAACTGCTATAGCTCATGCTTCCTGGACAATATGGAAAGTGAGCTGCAGAGTGGTGGCAGATGACTGATGGCCAGAATGGAAAAAGGTTCTGAGAATAGAAATTTGCAGCTCTGCTGGGAGAAGTCAAGAGAGGATTGGTGTAAAGTAAACAGTGATGGTACCCTTGATGAGACAGCGCAGAGTGCTGGAATTAGATTGGTACCAAGGGATGATAATGACTGTATAATTGGAGATCAGTTCCAATGAAAAAAAAGACATAGATAATATAAAAGACTGCATTTGAGGAGTTGGTGCTTAAAAAGATTGCCAATTAACAAAGCTGGAGATTAGATTGCAAAACAATTCAAGGATGGATGGGTCTACTAAATTGGGTAAACGAGCAGGTGTGTATAGTTCTTGCATCGAAATAGCACCATTTTTCTCAGGAAATCAGAAACAACGATTCAACATTAACGCATATAGAGAGAGAGATCATTAGCTCACAAATCCGATCAACATAAACAGATTCATTGAAATTAAATTTACAAATAATAAGCTCATTCTCAAAAGAAATGAACCCGGTTCCATTTACAATTAGACACAAGATCTTAATACTATTCAAATCGATCTGTCCTGAACATGAAAAGAATGCAGTGGCAAATCCAAACACAAAGTTCGAAATATAATCAGAAAGAGAGAAAATGGAGGGTACCTGTTATGAGATCTGAAACAAGAGAAAATGAGATTGAAACTCCAAAGAGGAATTGAATTGAAGGGGGGAATGGGGTTTTATTTATAGGACCGAAATTGGAGTCGTTTGACTCGCTCGATTTGCCCGCTCTTCTCGGTGTTTGGCTCTTCCTCTGCTTTTCTCCACCCGGATGAGTAGTATCTCCTGCTTCTCCTCACAAAATTTTCAAACAATCTTGACCGTTGCGATTTTGACCAGATTAGAATGAGGAAAATGGAGGGTACAGATGAGCTGCTCTACGGATTGGATATAAGATGATGAAAGCATTCTTTTTTTTTATAAATAATAGGGTAAACTACGTATTTAAGTCATCCACCTTTTTAAGGTTCTATTTTGGTCGTTTGACTATTTTTTTTTAAAAGCATATCTAATGTTATATTTCGATTTTATTTTAATCATTCACCGTTAAAAATAAACAATACTAATGTGAAAATTTTATTTTATTTTTTCAATAATAACATCACACTACCTTATAGTTCCAAAGTTATAATTGAGCCTGGACAAGAGGGGTGCCTTCCAAAGCCTAAAATTAAGAAGTCCACGTGTATTAGAAATGAATAAATTACCTATTTGGTCACTCATCTATTAATTCATTTCTAATTTAGTTATTTATTTAATTTTTGGGTAAACTACACATTTAGTATCTAAATTATTACTTTTACTCCGTTTTGATACCCAAACTTTTTTCTCAAAATCATACCCAACGTTTAGTTTAAGTTTCAATTTAGTACCATATCGTTAAAAACTTAACGATAATGTTGACGTGTCACCATAAGGTAATGCCATGCCATTATTAGAAAAAAAATATCATGTCAACAGTTTTATTATTTTTTTAATGATGGGATATCACATTAAAACTTAAAATAAACGTTAAGTATGGTTTTGAAAAAAATAAAGTTAAAATACCAAAATGGATAAAAACTAATAATCTAGGTTTCAAGGTGTTCAGTCAATTTGGGTTTGGAGAAGATGTTTAGCAGCCATTAACTTTCTAATTGTGATCGGTTTATAATAATATTATTGACGAGGATATAAGGTGATTGCCATTGTTTGGAATTATCAAGTGTAGTGGGTTTTTCGGGTCGATAGTTTCATGACTCGTGTTTAGCATTAGAAGGTAAGTTTTTTTTTATTATTATTACGAGAATGTGATTATAAAGTAATATAAGTTTTAAATACTCTTAATCATTTAACAATGAACATTTAATCACTCTTGCAGTCGTTAGTACTTGAACCCATGACCTCTAAGAATAACAATTTCTTGAACCAATGAAATAAGTTGGTTCGTGAATAGGTAAGCTATTTTTAAAATATGGTCTCTAATTTCCTTAAAAATACATAATGGCTTTTTGGTATTTTAATTTTATCAATTTAATCATTTTATTCCTTAATTATTTTATTATATATATTTTGGTCTTTAAATATTTTTTTTATCAAATTGACTTAAACATGACAAAATAACAATAATAATTTAATATTATTATTATTTAACAAGAATTAATCATTTCAATTTTCAATTTTTTCCCAGTTAAAATAGATCGAACCAATCAAGTCCTTTCCTTATTTTCTAAAAAAGCATCAAAATAAGATTTCCATCTTAGACAATATATTAATCCTCAACTTTTAAAAAAAAAAACTTAATCCTCAACCTTATGCAAACCTGCGTTAATTTTTTATTAATCTAAAGTAAGTACATCGGTAATATCTATTCAAAGATAACTCTCGACCATTTGATATTGAACGCACATCCTTGATATTGTTGATGTTCAAACCTGATAACTCAAGAAATAACAATAATTTATTTTCGTTTAATTCGTTTTTAATAAAATAGAATATTACATACGTTTTATGTGATGCAAAGCGTTAAAGCAAATAATGGAGAATAAAGAGCTTATCTCATGAAATCATAAATGTTTTTCTAGCTTTAATAAAAGAAAGAAAGAAATCAGCTGGAGTTGGTTCAAGTGGTAAACAACTTAATATTACTCAAGCAATGTCTCGAGTTTGAGTCCTTGTGTATACAAAAAATACTGCTGGAAAACTCACCTATCAAAATCAAGTTGCACACTTTAATTTAAACGAAACCTTAAAACCGAGAGAAAAAAAACACTTGGGGGTGGTAAAGTCTATGTGGATGGGCTTTGATTATTGCAAATACCATCCATGGGTTGGGTTGGGGACCCCTATTTAGGCTTTTCCCCTAATTCAAATCTTTATTTTTCCCACTGCAAGGGGTCCACACGGCAAGAGAGAAAGAACATGAACTCGAGCTATTTCAATGATAAGGAAAAGTATTTATTCTTTAAAGTTTTCGAGTTTGCGTAATTATATATATATATATATAGTATGTTTTTTATTGATAAAAAAATATACATTTATTACTTTATAATCAAATCTTAAATTATTAAAAAAACACAAAATAATGACAAATGGACTTTTATAAAAAAAACATTAACAAATAAAGATAGATGGACTGATAAAACAAATAAACGCAAAACATATACAACCTTGTGTTAAACTTTTTTGAATAATAAATATTTATTATATATTTAAATAAAAATAATTTAATAATTTTTAATTGAATTAAATTAAATTTCTCATTGAATCACATTGAATGATTGAAGTTCAATTCCACTTTCTCAACGTTGGTGGCTTCTTAATTACATCATTCATTATTTAGGCCTATGAATTCCACCCTTCCAAAACTCAATGTTTTTGTCTTTGAATATCTAAAAAATCTACAACTTCACTGTCAAGTATTTGAATTTACCCTTATCTTCATACACAAAACCCTAATATCGTTAGTCAAATAATTTAATACATGAATACATTTAAAGATATGAAACAAGTCCATATCATTTAACAATGAAATTAAAAACTCATTAAATCACTTTAATAGTTTGAGGGAGTATTGTTTTTTTAGGTTATGAGTTCGAGAAATTAAGTCTACATGGTGTAAATATATTATTAATGGTTAAGAAATATTATGAACAGATACAATCCTGTAATCATCCATATTATTATACGTGACATAAAAATATTTATTTACATTAGTTGTGGACCTAAAATCTTTTTTAAGAATGAGCACATATATTAATAATAAGGAGTGGAACACAAGCTAGACTAGAGGGGTTATGACCCCAAAAAATTAGAAATTCAAATTAAATTTTATTTTTTTTAATCTTCTTAATTAAACCCCCTCTCATAATTTTAAAAATTCATATAAACTCTCTCAAAATTTCAAAAATTGTAGTTAGACCCTAATTTTTGGGAAAAATATAAATTAAACCCTTCATTTAAAAAAAATCTTCATTTATACCTTTAATTTTTTTAAATTTAAATTGGCCCCTGAAACTCTATCGTCAAGTTAAGCCATTGTTAATAATATAAAAATTTTATATGTGACGGACATAAATAAAATTTTAGAATGAGTACAATCGATGAAAAATATATATATTTAAAGAGAAACACGTTGTCCGCCTAAACTTGTTGTAGATCGGCCATTGATTTACATTATATTTTCAAAGGAAGACTATTTTTTTGGAAAAATATTTTTTTCATATATTTTTAATATTTTTCTCTACAGAATAATTTGGTCAGAGAATTTGAAAATAGCAATTCTCCGTTTTAAAAGTTGCATGATTGAAATTTGCGTAGATAGTCGAAGAATTTGAAGGTTTGAGAGCTAAATAGTCATCCTGCATGCATTGCCCAATGCCCACTATAGTCCATGATGTTGATGCCCACAGAAACAAACCTATTTCGTTACGTAACCTTCAGGATTTGGGTTTTAACCGTTTGTAGAGTGTGAATCGTTTGAAAAAAAACGTGTTACTTGCTTTTATATAATTCTAATATATTAAATGTATAAATTTCAATATATTTACATTTTTTAATATTATTATGCTATTTTATGTTACACCCTATTCTATCATATTTGTAGGGGCAAGCTCTAGGAACCTGTCTGTTCCAACTTGTCTTATTTTGTATTCATTAGTGTGCGTTAATTACATTATAATATCGTTTTTAAATTTTTTTAACAGATTAATAATGAATACATACACATTATACAAACATAGGAACTCGAATTTAATATCTCTATAGAGAACACAATTTATTTTAATCACTTACATCATTTAATATGTTTAATATTAAAAATACTATATATATATATATATATATAATTTGAGACCTTCATGTGCCTAATGAACCTAAACACCTGATAGTGTAGCAGCTATTGCAATTTGATTTTTAAACTGCTTTTAGACCTTAGCTTGTTTTAATTCTACGGCCTAGCAATTTTATAGGCGAGTAGTACATGTTTAATGCTCAATTTTTCTCTCTTTTGTGAGTGTGTGATTAATTTGCATGTTTGTATAGTGTATCATATTTGCATTCTTAAAATAAAACATCTTCATCCACTCGCAAATCACCCTATAAAAATTAGATTTGAAAGTAAAAAATTGGAAGCCAATATCTGGGTGGTGTAGTATTATTTCAAGAAGAAGAATATTTTTAAAAATGAATATCAACGTATAGTTGTTAAAAGAGATCGAAATATTAATACATCAATTTTTAAAATGGATTTTCATCGATTTTAAGTGGATTTCATGCAAAATCAATAGAAGAAAGATGAGTGAAATACAAGTATTTTGATATTGATCTTGTCGCGAAATATAACCAATGACGAACGGTGATTGATTATCGATGACAATAGCCAAAAAAAATAAATTATTTAAAAATTCAGTGACAAAATTAATTCACACATAAAGTTTAGTGTCTAAAACGATATTCTTTTGGTGTTGTATACCACTTCAACAATCGTTAGAAATATCATCGTCTCGTTAATGACTTAACGATAAAATAATATAAATAAATGTAAAAGTAGAGTTTAATATTATAATTGATAAAATTAAAAGTTAACGAGTAAAATTTGGGTCTGTTTGTTTTCAAAATAAACCAATTACGGAATTGGTTTTCCCTCAATTCACGTGTTTGGTTCCCGTAAAAGCCTTTGGTTAATGTAAAACCAATTATGATCAACGTAAAAGAAGCTCCTTTGGCACGTAAAACAACTTACCATGA